TAGACATGATGGCAGCGTTGGGGCTGGCCGTCCCTCAGGGCACGCAGGGCTTCGCTCAGGAGGAAATGCAGAGACTTGAAGTGGAAAGCACCCAGGTATTCCTCATGGGACTGCCCGGCCTGGCGCACGGCTGCGTTGAATTCCCCGTGCAGGGGGTTCTGCAGGGTGTATGCCATGAGGGCAATTGCCTGCTCCGGCCGCAGTGTCCGGGGAATTCGACCCCGCCGGTTTCGCCATTCGGCCATTCGGTGGTGGCGAGTGTCCAGGCCCTGGCGTAGATGCTGTTGTTGGTAAACTCGGTGCGGTTGAGCTCCTCCAGCTCCTCCTCCATCATGTGGCTGCAGCCCCGGTACTGGTCATCGAAGGAGTTTTTGGCCATGTCCAGCGCTACGACCTTGATGGGGTTGAGGTCTCGCCGATGGGAGGGGCTGCCTGTGACCAAGTTCTCGGCCAGCAGCACCAAGCCCAGCACCAGAAGGTCCATGGTGGGCAGAGCAGCTCTGGGGGAAGTGTTCTTGCCTGGGTGAGAAGCGTTACATGCACCTCACAGAGAGTATGGGCTCGAGGTGCTTGTCCCTGGCTCCCGCGGCACCCAGCCCCTCAGCACCCGCACGCTTCTGACAGGAGAGGTGAGAAATGGAAGACTGGATTGCTTGGGCCCAGATCCAGCCCCCACCACCCTCCTCCCAGCTATTTTTACTGTCCCTCTACCGCCGTGATCCCAGAGCAGTCACTGCCCTTCCCACTCCCCGCCTTGTGATGCAACTGCAGGGAATGGTTCAGGAACTTCCCTTGGGAAAAATTGCTTCTTTTTAAAATCTGAGTGCAGGTGCCATCCTGGTGGGATCGCTGCCTTTTCCTCCTGGAGCTAACACCGCCTCTGTCCCTGCTGACCCAGGACACAGTGCTTGCACTGATCCACCCCTCATGTCACACTGCAGAGGATGAGGCAGTTTGTGACACAGGTGGCAGGGAGCTTTGGTGGTGCAGGTCACCCTCCGGGCAGGCACAGACAGAGGTGACGAAGTCTGGGGGAGCTCAGAGCCCACCCTGAGAAGGACTCATCCCACCAGCCCACCTGGGGAAAACCAGAGCGAGAAGAACAGGAGCTCTGGGCAGATGCTGCCTTCTCTGGTGCTCATCATCAGCCTTCCTCCATGGGCACCCCCATGTGGGCACCACATGTTTGAAGGTTCAGAGTCCAACCGAGTGGGACCACAGGGCCAAGGGAGCGGCCTAAATCTATTCGCTTTTAGTTTAATAATACTATCCATGTCTTGTCACAAGAGACCTTGCTACAAAGATTGCCCCCATCTTTCTTATAGGTTCCCTTCAGGTCTCCTCAGTCTTCACCTCTTTCTGTGATGGTGAAAACCAGAGATCATAAATTAAGGCAAGTTTCAGGTTGGAAAGGACCTTTGGATATCCCTGCAATGAGCAGGGACATCTTCAACTAAATTAAGTTGCTAAAAGCCCGGCCCAACTTGGCTTTGAATGTTTCCAGACATGGAACATTGGCCACCTCTCTGGGTGACCCATGGCAGCGTTTTACCACCCCCAGCATGAGGAGTCGTCCGAAAATTTGCTGAGGGAACACTCGATCCCACTGTCCGTGCTGTCAACAAAGATGTTAAACGGCACCTGTCCCAGTACTGATCCCTGAGGAACACCACTCCATCACAGGTCTCCATTTGGACATTGAGCCATTGATCACAACTTTCTGAGAGTGGCCATCGAGCCAATTCCTTATCCACTGAGTGGTCCATCCATCAAATCCATGTTTTTCCAATTTAGAGACCAGGACGTCGTGTGGGACATTGTCACATGCTTTGCGCAAATCCAGGAAGATGATGTCAGTTGTTCTTCCCTTATCCACTGGTGCTGTAACCCCATCATAAAAGGCCACCAAATTTGTCAGGCAGGATTTGCCTTTGGTGAAGCCATGTTGGTTGCCACCAACTACCTCCTCATTTTCCATGTGTCTGAGCAAAACCTTCAGGAGGATCTGCTCCATTATCTTGAAGGGCACTTAGATGAGACTGACTGGCCTGTAGTTCCCTGGGTCCTTCTTATCTCTCTTCTTGAAAATGGGGGCTATATTTCTGCTTTTCCTGTCCTTGAGAACCTCTCCAGACTATCACGACTTTTCAAATATGATGGAAAATGGCTTTGCAACTTCACCCACTAGTTCCCTCAGGACCGACGGATGGATCCCATAGATTTGCCCATCTTCAGGTTCATTAGATGGTCTCAGACATTATCTTCTTACCATGGGTGGATTGTTGTTCTCCCAGTCTCTGCCTTTGCCTTCTGCAGCTGGGTGCTGTGGTTAGAGTCCTTACCAGCAAAGACTGTGGCAAAAAATTTGTTTAGCACCTCAGCCTTGGGATGTTTCCGTGGCACAGATACGGAGAAGGCAGGGACTGGGCTGTCCCCAGCCATGCTGCCTGCACCCTGCCCTGCCTCCTACTTCCTAACCCCCTCCAAACCCTGAGGGAATGTGGGTGGGGGCTGACCTGTTGCATGTGTCCCCTGTCAGTGCCACCAAATCCCCCTCGACCCCCATGTCACAGCCTGCCCCATCCTCAGCAGTGTGATGGAGGAGTCAGTGCAAGCACCACACCCTGGGCCAGGAGGGACAAGTGTGGTGTCAGCTCCAGAAGGAAAAGGCAGAAATCTCACCAGGATGGCACCTACACCCAGGTTAAAAAAAAGGCAATTTTTCTCATGGGTATTTCTTGAATGACTCCCACAGTTGTGCTGCAAGGCTGAGCAGGTGCAGTGGCTGCTCTGGATACTCAGTGCTGGGGGACGGTAAAAATAGCTCGGAGGAGGGTGGTGGGGGCTGGATCCGAACCCAAGCAATCCAGTCCAGAGCTGCTATAAAAAGAAAGAGCGTCCATTTCTCGCCTCTCCTGACAGCAGCCTGAGGAATCAAATGGTCTGTACAGAATCGGGGTCTTGTCCACCTAGCATGCCAAAAGGAATGAAACCATCATCATGCCCCTTCCCCCCCCCCAAAAAAAAATTGCAAATGCAGGATATACTGCTTTGAAATCTCTGTAGGGAATCGGGGGCTTGTCCACCTAGCATGCCAAAAGGAATTAAACCATCACCATGCCCTTCCCCCCCAAAAAAAACCATTGCAAATGCAGGATATACTGCTTTGAAATCAGAAAATTAAGTATTGAAACCATTGTTGACTTTTGAAAACAAAAACGGAGAGAAATTAACACAAGTAGATACTCTAGTGATTGAAAACCAAAACCTAGAAATTATATTGGCTGGGGCTGAAAGTTGAGAAAATCAATTACAGGAGAAATGAAATCTCTTACTAAACCAGATGCCCTTCAATCCACTGTGCAGGCATCAAAACATGGAGTGGAGACATCTGGTACCGTGATGACACCGATGAACTGATGGGAAAGTCTGATTTTATCTTACGCCAGAACCTGTACCAATATGACTATTGATCAAAGCCCAAAACCACAAATGAGGGAGGTGATGGTGTTTGTACCACTGGGTAAAAAGTACTGTGGTGTCCTGCTGAACTAAATTGCAGGAAAATTATTACAGGTATCCAGAGGAGTCTGAGATAGAATCTGAGGGGTGAGTCTCCCTTGTGGGGGAAGACCAAATCTTAAGTGAGGAGGAAGCAGGAGGCTATTGGGGTCCTGGTGTGTTTTTAACCACTGCACTGGGGATCACAAGGACTCATTTACTGCAGGAGCTGCCTGTGGGGCTGGCGGCACAGACCCCCAAGAAAGGGGAGACTCTCTTGTTAGTAAAACCTCAGGGTTCTCCTATTGGGCTGCACCTGTGCCAAAAGCATCAGCATCCAGGGGATATAAGGGAAGGGACGGCAACCGAATGCCAATTCACAAACCAAACCCTGACCGGCCCCCCTCCGGGAGTCTGAGCCCTCTTAAGGGAAAACAGATTGAATCCACAGTTTGGGAAAAAAACCATCAGCACTGGGGATACCCTGGCAGTGTGATGAGCACTGCTCACAGACCTTGTCCAGAAACTTGTGGAATTGTTAAAGGAGAATATGGGAAACTCCCCCTCTGCAGCAGAGAGTAGTGAACAATTTTGTGCCCTTGTAAGAGGAACCAAAGGGGTCAAAAACCAAGAAGATGTGGTTTGGGTTCAGGCTGCTCGCTCAGCACGATGAATTCCTGTAAATGATCGGCTAAGAGAAAACCTCACGTATATACCCCTGTGTGTCCAAAGTAAGTTTAGAGTTCTTAATTGATACAGGGACTCATATTAATGTTCTAAATAAGCAACAAACCAAGGGGCTGTGCATTAGACCCTAAAGCAAAGCTATAAACATCATGGGGGTGACAGGTGCGACAAAAAACTCTCCCATAGCTCAAACTCATTTTTTTTCTGCCTGGGGAAAACCAGAGAACAGCTGTGGAGGTGTCTTTAGGCTTTTATAACCCTGTTGCCTCATCCAAGTCCTTGATGAATAGTACTTCCCCTGTTAGAGAGTCTGCAAAACACCTCCTGCTGATGCACGACAGGCGTTTAGCACCTCAGTGACCCTCCCCGATGTTCTGAAATGCTGACCCTGACAGAACGACTCCCTGAATCCAGCCTCTTCAAAATTATACACGGTCCTGCTCCAGGATGTTTTGCGAGACGCATCAGCCTGAGGTGAGGGAAGAGGGAACTGCGACCTGGGGGCAATTGGTGCAGGAGTAATTAATTACAGCCAGATGATGGGCTCTTCTGGTTTAGAGCACCAGGGTAAAAGTTCTCTGTGGCCCCTGGCACCTGTGGCAATCACAGTGGGATAGGGGGCAGCTGTGCCTGTGGGGAGGAGAAGATGAATCTGGTGACCCAAATGGACCAGTCACAGTGTTCCTTCTCGTGATGCCCAGTATAAAATGGGCCCTAAGAAAAACATGTATTTTTGTGCCTGATGTGCTGGTGAGGTTACTATTGGTTGTTGTTATCCCTTCTCCTGTTTTCACATTGCAGGGGACCACTGTTTGCTGGGACAGGTTGTCTTCCTCTGCCTTGCCAGGTGAGAATGGCACAGTTCCTTTTCTGACTTATTTTTTATTTTTTTGGACTATCATCAAGACTCTGGTCTTGGGCACTCTTGCCTGCTGCCAAGTCCAGTGTGGGACTGTTTTTTTCTGCTCGAGACTTAGCTGTCATCTAGCAGGTCCCATATTAACATACTGTGTTACATCTTTGAGCGTATTTGCATACTTGTATATGTCTGCACATAGTCTGACATCTCCATTGCTACTGTTAGTATTATTCTATTCTTTTCATTAAACTGGTTCAAGTTCTTTTTCAGCCTCAAAGTCTCTCTCCTTGTTCCCCTGTTATTCTCCCCTGGGAGGGTGGTGGCGGAATCACAGAGAGGGTCTGTCAAAGTGGTTGGCTCAGCCTTAAACTTTGACGTGGGCCCTGCAGGACGAATGGGCAACCTGAACCCGTGGTGTGCATAAGGTAGAACAGTGG